ACTGTGACAATACAAGTCTATGGAAATGGAAAAGAAACTTGAAGCAAGTCAAATGCAATTCAAAAGGAGGTGGACTGCAGCTCACAAGCACCTGTCGATGTATTATAAATTACCACAGAAGTGTCTCAAACAAATGTATAAAGTAAAGCCAAAGGAAATCTCACCGCTCCAATTCCTTAGCCACCATCAGGACTCCCCAGGTACTGGTCTAATAGGTGCATCTCCACCTTGGAATGTAGTAGTATACGAACAGACCGCACTATCCAGAGAATTCCAATACTTCAGACTTTATTGAAATTCAGAGCAAATCCAGTATAACAGTGAATAAAAGTGTATAAAGCAGCAAATAACAGCACCGCAAACCCCCAAACCAGCTACAACCTCTCACATGTTTCACCTAGGGATGTCCCGATACCACTTTTTCAGGACCAAGCACAAGTACAAGTACTTCCCCTCGTGACTTGCCGATACCAATTACCGATACTTTAAAAAAAAAGGGACAGGTGACTTTAAATGATCCATAGTACAACTACATAGTTTGTACTACGGATCATTTAACCCATTCATGTTAGCAGAGGATAATTGTAAATCTACTGTTGCAGTGCATTCTGTATGTAGTATATAGTACATGTACATATAGAGTGCACTGCAACAATAGATTTACAATTATCCTCTGCTAACAGGAATGGGTTAAATGCTCCCTACTACAGGGCTACATATGGATCATTTAATCCATTCATGCTAGCAGAAGATAATTGTAAATCTAATGTGTCCAGTGTATAAGCAGTGTGTACTCTATAAGTATTACATATAGGGTACACACTGCTAATACAATGGAGACCATAGATTTCAAGTAGTGGCTCATACTTGGCTAGAGATTTTCATTTTATTGTGTGATTACTTAGCCAGGACTTTGTATACTGCCTGGGTTTATCTGGGTTTTTCCTGGGTGTTCTACTTTCCTTCCATAATTGAAAAACAATGTAGGTTAAGTTAGTACAATTTGTCTATATTATGTTTGTGAGTACAGGGACCTTAGATTGTGAGCTCCTGCTTGGGGAACAGAGACTGAAGCCAAAGGGGTCCCCTGTAATGTACTGCATTAAATGTCACTACTATATACAGTAAATCCCCCCGCCCTCACTCACTGTGCGGAGAGCAGCGCCGAGTCAGCGCTGGTCCGGTGGGAGGAGCTCCAGGTGGGGTCCTAATTTAGCTGGCCCAGAGGTGCTGGCCAGCTAAATTAGGACCCCACCTGGAACTCCTCCCGCCGGACCAGCGCTGACTCGCCGCTGCTCTCCGGCACTGAAGGACATCGTCCTTGAAGAGGAGCATCGCATCACTGCTGCTCCGGGGGGCGGCGCTCTGAGTGGGATCCTCCGGGCAGTCGCCAGCCACCTACATTAGGACCCCACCTGGAGCTCCGCCCACAGCAGTGACGCGACGCTCCTCCGCTCAGCCTGCCTGAAGGTAAAGTAAAAAAAAAACGCAAGCTTCGACGCTATACATCGGGGCATTTTGACAAGTACAAGTACTTGTCAAAATGCCCTGTATCGGGCCCGATTCCGATGCTAGCATCGGTATCGGGACATCCCTAGTTTCACTCATAAGCTTATTCATAGAGGTCTTCTATGAATAAGCCTGCGGGTGAAACATGTGATAGATTGTAGCTGGTTGGGGGTTTGCAGTACTGTTATTTGCTGCTTGATACATTGTTATTCACTGTTATACTGGATTTGCTGTGAATTTCAATAAACTCTGAAGTATTGGAATTCTCTGGATTGTGCGGTCTGTTTGTATACTAATGTATAAATTAAGCTGCATTTTCCCATCGACACAAGCCCTTATATTGTTTTCAAAAAGAGGATAAATTCTACCTGTTTAAAAAGTGAGGGGTATTTACTATTGTAGGGCACTATCCAAAAAACTGTTCTGCACAAGGATCTTTAATGTCAGGTAAAAACTTCCATACAAATCCTAAGTTGATATAGAGGCACTCACAGGTCTTGCAGCGAAGATCAGTCAAAATAACAGCATTTTATTGTCAATTGTTCCGTCAAAACATTGACAATAAAATGCCTTTGCTTGTTACTTATCTCCGCTGCAAGACCTGTGGATGCTTCTATACCTACTTTGGATATATATATCTAGATATATCTAGATCTAGATATATATACTGTATATATACAGTATATTTATTTGCCATAATATGTTAGCTTAAATATATGAAAATAAAGTCTGCATATATACATATGCATGAAATTGTAAAGTTCATCACAGAAATAAGGATTAGGTACATAGATCAGGTAAAACCGGGTGTTCTCCCAGGTTCCACAGGTCAAGAGTACATATGAATGATAAAGATCTTACCATTAATTATGACTTACCGATTAGTATGAGAGTTGCAATGCATGAACCAGCTTCGATTATTATCTACATACATAGCCCAGGCCTTGTCATCTTTTCCAAGCATCATGTCTTTCACCACATTAATTCTGGCAACACCAAATGCTGGATCAGGATGGTTGTCATATCTGTCAACTTGTACCTCCCAATAATGGACTCCTTTGGAGAATGCAGCTGTGCCCAAGACAACTCTATCATCATAACTGCTGCAAGAGGCTGTCATATTGTCATTGGACAGTACAATATCCCGATGTGCAGTATTCGAGTCAAATGTGAAAAATGCCACTAGAGAAAGTCAAAGTTTTGTATTAGCAAGAGCAGATTCATTTCTTAAATTGCCATTACCTAAAGTGAACTTCTACTCTATCCATACTAGACAAAGTAACAGGTTGATCTATAGAAAGCACTATAGGCAGCCTATACACTACTTCCCAGTGTATCCATGCTAACTTGATCTGTTGCCAGAGCATTTCAATATCCTGCAAGTTTTTAATTTCTGGAGGTTGAAACCTGCTTAGGGCTTGTTAAACATGTCGTACCCCCCCCACCCCCCACCCCCCTGGCAGTAACAGCATTCTGGCCTTGTAACAGCAATGTAACAGCATTCTGGCCTTGAGATTGGCTGTTCAGGTACTCAATGCTGCATTCTGGGGAGGCATAGGATTTGTACAACTTGCCTATGCTGCCTCTTATAAAGCATACTTCTTAAGATATCTAGTTTAAAAAAAAAGAACAGGTTCACTTCATGGTGCCTGTTCATCAATATAATTAACAAATTACTTAAATATTATGTTATGTGCAGCTGGTCCTTCTTGTTCCATATAAATGGTCCAAACTGAGTTTGTTAAAGCAAGCTAATTGCTAGGATTGAAATAGAAGAACCCTGGAGAAGAAGATGGAATTTAGAAGCACTGTCATCCTCTTACCATATCCATCCCTCCAGCCTCCTTCACAACAGTCATTTTCTCTAGAGAGGAGGGAAATGAGCATGTCTTGCGCATGTGCAGTAGGAAGCCGACTGCAATTTATCAGGAAATTATGGAAGATGCCCAAACCCATCCTGTCAATTGACATGGGAGACAGTGCTGGACATCATGGGCTAGTAAGTATGTGTTTTTTACTTGTACTTGTAGCTGCTGACTTTTCCCCTAGCCCAGAGAAGTTCCACTTTAAATACTTTCCTGTATAGTGGGCAGCGGTTCCAAACTTTGCTTTTTTGCAAAGCTGCAGGTGCCACTGCTATCTAACACTTCTTGGTGTGTCAGATAGCATGTCTCCTGCTGCATGCTGTGGTTTTAGCCTCCAACCTCTAAGCCAATACTTTTGCAGATACTACTTTTGCTGCCCATCTTATCGGTGGACTTCCTGTCTACCAGACATCTTCTTTTACAAGGTTCTTCTATTACATTTCTTTACCCTAGCAACAGGGTGACTTTAAGCCGGTGGTGCTAGTTTACACCTGTCTTCTGATACATACATTAATTTGTCTAAACCTTGATTGCTAAGCTGCAGATGGAACAGACTTTCCCTGTTGTTCCATCTGCATTTAGCAAATTGTGGGTGACTATAAAACACCTGAAATCACTAGAAATAATAATTATCTCTGTGGTGATATATGCTCAATAGAGATACCACAAATTACATTTCCCACACACTGAAAAAGGTACCTACAGGTGAAACTCGAATAATTAGAATATTGTGCAAAGTTCATTTATTTCACTAATGCAACTTAAAAGGTGAAACTAATATATGAGATAGACTCATTACATGCAAAGCAAGATAATTCAAGCTGTGATTTGTCATAATTGTGATGATTATGGCTTACAGCTCATGAAAACCCCAAGAACCCCAAATCCACAACCTCAAAAAAGTAGATTATTACATGCAACCAATAAAACAAGGATTGTACATAGAACAATATCGGACCTCTGAAAAGTACAAGCATGCATATGTACTCAGTACTTGGTTTGGGCCCCTTTTGCAGCACTTACTGCAATTACTTTTGCACGATATTCTAATTATTCGAGTTTCACCTGTATGTATGCAAAGTATAAACCCTGAGGTGGAATGCTTAAAAATGGATATCATACAAGTGTACCGCAATACAACTTGAGACAGTTATAAAACAAGGTTGGCTTCTTGTCATTTGTCTTGCAGCATGTACATATACTGTACATGTGGAAAAACAGTTTGCAAATTACATATGTGTAGATAACAGAGGTTTAGGCAGTAGGTACATTAGCAATACTGCTAGTTATGTATATAAACCTCTGGGGGGAGATTAGTGGTCAAGATGATACTCAATTCGCATTTCATTTTTCAGACAATTGCTGCTCATATATATCAGCTTATATACAGTAGGTAAAGTGCATTAGCAATCAGTTTTTCAATTTACACAATTTGGGAGGACTAGGTAATTTCCAACAAAGGACATTTTCTCTTTGTGCATAGTATAGCAAATAGAACACTAAGGGGTATATTTATACAGGGGGGGATGGGTCATTATTGATATCCAACAGAATCAAAGCTGTGTTTGGTATCTAGGTCATATCTAGTGTAGTAAAAAATACATTTTAATAGAATACATGCTTGGATTACTTACCATCAGATGTCTGCAAAACGACGGTCTTACTATAAGGTCCAAGTCCTGTTGAGTTAAAGGCCTTGACTCTTGCATTGTAAGTGCTGTTAAAGTGAAGACCGTCAATTGTGCACAAAGTTTCTTTACCCACATAAACTTCCTATTTAAACATAAAAAATATTATTTTAAAATATTTTCACAGATAAACATGATTTAACTGCATTGTCTGGGGGCTGACATTGTATACAGTATATAAGTACATTTGTTTAAAACTGTATAATGTAAAATAACCGTCATGAATGTGAATATCATTAATTATAGTAGCACAGACTTAGGAATTAAATATAAAATATTATGAGATTCAGCCAACTTTATTGCAGACTGGAAATACAGTAAGTAAGTAAGTAAGTATATAAATACAATTGTATTAATCCAAACCCCTGGAAAAGACATGTGATCTTGTAATGTTTACTTAAATATAAACCCGGATGAAATCCTTGAATGATGTATCTGTTTAATTAAAAGTATTAATGTGGCTCTCCAAATTTCGTACATAGTAGAGAAGTATTATGATAATCATTTCTGGATTACCCTCATCTGGTTTAGTTCTGTTTGTTGGAACTGACAACTTGTAGTTTACACAATGAGTCTGCTGTTTATGACACCTATTACAGTAAGGACCAGTGCTGATGGGCTTTTGTTAGCGTACTCTGATTCTCACCCCATACAGGGATATATAGGAATGCAAAAGCAGTTTGAGAGCTCATTCACACCATCTGTGAACTCAAGACAAGCGGTACTTTTTTTAAAGCGCACCACAGTGAGACATTGTAGAACCACATTGCACCATGGTGAGTCCATAGAACTTAATAAAGGGTCACTCAAGAAACAGTGCGATGCAGCTTGATCCAGCGCATTGGCACTGTCCAGACACACACCAGCAGCCATGCGGTTGAGCACGGCTGCTGGTGTGAACAAGCCCTGAAGCAGGCCAAATACAGGTCCAAAAAAGATCGACTGCAGGACAAATACATCTGTCGATAAATCTGAATGATCTTAGAAGTGTCTCAAGCAGATGTCCAAAGACAGCTGCATTTGCCCATCAACACAAACCTAAAGCTTATTGACAAAGGCTTTTCCACTCTTTGCTATGGCCTATTAAAAAATACTCTTACACTCTTCACTTTCATTGCTTGACCTAAATGATTATTTTTATACATTATGAATCTCGTACTTATCTATCGGTAGAAACCTTAACAAATGGTATTAGATAATGCACACGGGTTTTTGCATTTTGTCATTATAAAAAATGTAAGGCTTTGTTTCCTCCCCATTCAGCTCCTACCCTTCCTTGTTCTGCCTTTTCAGTGTTCCACTCTCTCCCTCCCCCTCAGCCCTTCTGCCCCTTTATGCACCTGTGGCTGACAACCAGTGGGCATTCTACATCCTACATTTCCTCTCTTCAATCCTAGATTCAACCCTAAATTTTGCCTCCTCTTCTTTTTTTCTTGGCTAATGATTGGTTGCTACTCAAGCTCTTGTCTCTTCCTCCCTGGTTTGTGTTCAGCTCCCTCTCTGCCTCCAATACCCTCCAGCTGCATGGGATCACACTCTGTCTCCTCCATTTATGGTTTTAGTGGGATAGCATATTTGACTGAGGCTAATTCCTTTAGATGGATGCCATCTGGGTCAGATGCTTTATCTACCTTAATCTTGTTTACATGTAACTGCATCTCTTCCTGCATTAGTCTGAGTTCACACTGGGCGTACGGAATATGCGCGTAGGAACGTGCTTTAAAACACCCAGGTGTGAACCAGGCCTTAGGCAAGTAATGCTTTACAGGGAGAACTGGCTTCATCCTTCCCCCATATTATCTGACACATTCAACTCTTTTGTAAAGACAGATGGAAGGCTTGTATGTAAGACCTTAGCTTTTGCTTTTTTCGTTAAAGTTATGTTTCCTTATTTATCCTTCAGAGGGCCTATATTACCCCATTTGTCCCATTGAATTTATATATTTGTGTAGTCTTTTGGGATGTAACAGCAAATCATTAGTATTTTGTTTAGGTTTAGTCTTTGCTAATATGCATTGTTTTAGCTGTTTTTATTATACCCAGTCTACTTCTTAAGCTACTTTCTTTAGCTTAATGCAGCTGTGAATTTTTTTTTTTTTTAATCCTTTACATACAACTAGCATAATATCAGCATCTTGTTGGCAAACCCAATTATATCAGTGTCATTCCAGGCCTCAGTACATGTAAATGCAGAGCACCATAGTGACACCCCCTCAGGAGGCACATCCATGAAGCCCTGCCTTCACAGTATGCCTTCATTCTGACTGGCTGAGGACATCTTGTGGCAGAGAAGAGGTACCGTGGGGGACAGTTTTAGATTGAAGCCCAGAATCGAGCTTTAAAGTGACATTAAACCCTCAGATTGTTTAACATAAAACAATACTGTAATGTGTGCCTTACTGTAATCCATGGTTGTTTCCCTTCTCTTTGCTGCTCTTCTTTTTAAATCTGTATCTGTTCTCATGCTGGGCAGAACTTCTGTTTTGCAGCAGACTGCCTTGTCTCAGGAATGGATATATGGTGTCTGTGTATAGGTTTGTATAGGTTTGCAACCTGAGCCAGCACTACAGGAAGAGGCCCTGAGCTGCAAAGGGAAGTTATCCCCAAGCATGAGAAGACATGAGGATTTAAAAGGAAGAGCAGCAAAGAGAAGGGAAACAACCATGGATTACAGTAAGGCACACATTACAGTATTGGTTTATGTTAAAAAATCTGAGGGTTTAATGTCACTTTAACAGAAAAAAAAGGGTGTCATCACCCTTGGTTTTGTTGCCTGGCAGAGGTATATACATCACAAATGCGGCTGGACAGAATTACAAATCTTTTGGAAGTTCAGACATATGCATATCAACTGTGTACCTAGCTGTGTGCCTGCAGTTTAGCTTTAATACATTTTCAGTACCTTCAATATTTAGTAATGTTTTTTTTTAATTATAATATTTATTTATTTTTTAACATAAGACAAACATAACGACTAAATCACAAAAATTCAGGTTTCCCAAAAGACAGAGAGTTATACAACCAGATTAAAATAGCAGTGAAAAAGATTCTCAATTAATATCCTCCCCTGGAAACCCCCTCTACTCATGTTATTCCAGTGACCTATGGCTATAAAGCAGAAGGGGAAGCTAACTACAATTTCACTCATATAAAATATTTAATACATTAAATACACTGACTGCCCCCCAAAAAGTCACCACCTGGATTTAGCTAAGCAAATCCAAAGCCTTCCATTGGATAATAGTTCTAGGTTCAGCAATGTTATGTGCCCAAAATTGAGGTCAGCTGCCCACCTGAATATACTGAATGACCAAGTTTTTCCACCAATGGATTTTTTCTTCCCTGATGGGACGGGCATATTCCAAGATGACAGTGCCAGGATTCATGGGGCTCAAATTGTGAAAGAGTGGTTCAGGGAGCATGAGACATTTTCACACATGGATTGGCCACCACAGAGTCCAGCCCTTGATCCCATTGAGAATCTTTCAGAATCTTTGGGATGTGCTGGAGAAGACAGGCAGTGCACATTCATTTACTTTAATGTCTTATCATATGTAATACTTCCCTATTCAGTTATATCAGTTGCATTTTATTCCTAGATTTGTTGTATCTTTAGGAAATATGTCCGACACTATCAAGGGTAAGGAGAGGGACTTTAACTCCGTATAATATCTAACCAGAGCCACAATTTATACAAGTCTTCTTCACTTGACTCCACAAGTATGTGTTCACTTTAGTCTGTATTTCTTCACTTTTGTATTCATAAATAGCGCTACAAAGTTCAGGGCCGGATTTACTCTCCCTGCGCCCCAAGGCCAGGTTCCGCGATACGCCCCCCCCCCTCACCAGCCAACCC